CAAAATATCGAACGAACAGAGATACGTGGGACAGAATAATGAAAGAACAGTTCATCGAAGCTTAATTAAAAAAAAAAAGTAAAAAAGAAAAAAATACTCTCATCCTGAACACAGAGCAATATCGAAGCGCATTTATCGATTGTCAATACCATCGCTGAATGATGTCAACGTTTTGATCGGAAGTTTATTATAAAGCAAATTGAAATGTGAGAAGACCGACGCAAACGAAACATGCTAAAATATACAAATTTCTCGTCGACGAACAAGCTGCACGATGCGACAAACGAATGACAGTGGAACTTTCTTGCGAAACAACGAGCAGATAGATCGGGACGAAGATCTGATCGCAGATTCTAACCATGGATTCTCCGACATTCGAAAGAACGATCGAAAATCAAATACTGCAGAACGTACGTTCGATGGCTCGAACGACGTGAAAACTATTACGACTCGCAAATGGCAAATAACGTTAACCTCTGCGGATTGCACGATTGAAGAGCACTGTCAAGGTTGGCAGGTACAAAAGCGCTGATTTAAGAAAACCAACAGAATTCGTGCAAGTGTTAAAAAAAAAAAAAAAAAAAAAACTATCATTTCGCAAAATTTTTTGTAAGATATATCCGAAAGATCGGGAGGAAATCGGAGAGGAGTCGAAGATCGTTTTACGAGTTACCGATTCGACAATGATCGCGAACGTAGAACCGGTGAGAACCGCGAACGTCGAAATCCTCTGCAATCGTGACGACCTGGACGATTTGCTCGAAGAAGAGGAGAAAGAAAACGCGAATACTCACGGCAAGATTATCCTGAGGGAATACCTGAGACTTCTCTCCACCCAGGAGGCGAAGATCAATTTCATCCTGAAGGTTCTGACGAAGGCAGTGAACGAGCATAAGGTTTTCGCGATTTACGGCATTTTCCCAGCGTTGAGAAAGCCCTTGGGGAAAAGGGGCTGGATAGAGAAACGGTTTATCAGAAGAATGCTGTCGATGTCGCCAGAGATCTCGGAAGGTTGCTCGCAGACACTCATTCTATTCACCGTGACAGCGAAACATATACAAATCCTTTGTGTTTCAGTCGGCCTGGAAACGATCGAAAAGTTATTGCGTTATCCTGCCAATTTTGTATGGTACACTAACAAAAGGGCACCTGTTAGAACGGAAGAGAAAGTCATAATTAACAAATTCTCCGGATGTTATTTTACGTCAAAGGTTCTATTTATCTCTTCGAATCTAACATTTTAATTTAACTTTCACAGCAAAGCGATTTCAGGTCGACATGTGCAATAATTTGGAAAATATTTCTTGGTTCTACGAAACTGGCGTGTCGAACGTGCAATTCCCACGATGCTACAACGTTTACCAGGTTTGTATGACATTTTCTCTGCACGCTGACATTCGTGATTAAAACGTGTCGCGCGTGTGCAGCCGGCGCAGATAGAGGAATTCGTGCGGGATTTTTACATCACAGCCTGCACGGGAATTCTCAAGTGGTTCTTATTCTTGGCTACTATAGCTGGACCGAATGCTGTTTGGTCCCAAGACGGCACTATCCCTATAAAAGCAATTTCATTCGCTCTCGAGCGATGCGCTGAATACATAAGGTTTAAAAAGATTCAAAACGAAATCAAATATCCGAAGCTTTCCTTAACAAATCTTTGAACCGCAGCATCTGCGCGCACGAAGATATTGATGGACAGAATTACAAAGAAATATCGATTTCTGATTGGAATCAATTTTTATTCTGGTACGAACAACTTTCGCACAGACGAGAGATATTGGAGAGGAATGACGACATAGACATCGAGGTAATGCAATTAATACAATTAATCAAAACTATGGTAGACTTATTTTTAATGTCAATGACATTATCACGATACGAGGCAAAAGAAAAAAATATATTTTCTACTAGTCACTGTTAGTCGCTAAAATTGGATTGTGAACATTTTTTTATCAGGAACTTCTACGATTCACTGCAAGCACGATGAAAGAAATGACGCAGTGTCGTGATCAAAGTCAAATCGACGGGATGAGGAACGTCTGGATTCTAAAACCAGGTGACAAGAGTTTGGGAAAAGGTATAGTTCTGAAGAGTTCGTTGCGAGAGATTCTAAGCAAGATAAACCAGGCTGCCAAGGAATACACGCAGTACGTCGTGCAGAAGTACATAGGTGAATCTTTGGTCGATTCCACAGTAGCAGAGTGTTAAAAATAAATTGATTAATTGGTCGATTATTTCTAGAACGGCCTCTGCTCGTTCATAAAACGAAGGTTGATATCAGACAATGGTTTTTGATAACCAGCACGCAACCCCTCGTAGTTTGGATGTACAAGTGAGTCGATTTTTTTTTTTTTACTCCAATATCTGAACACAACGCTCGCTTCGTTCAACATTTTCTCACTCAGAATCATTCGTTTTAAAGGGATATTCTGCTGCGTTTCGCATCGAAAGATTTCACCCTCGATAACTTCCACGAATCGATTCATTTATGCAACACGACTGTGCAGCTGAAGTACAGGAAGACAGTGGGACAGAACGCGCAGATACCCAGCGAGCTTCACTGGAATCTTCAGAACTTCAAGGAATATCTGAAGTATGCATTTTTTATGCGACTGTCAAGCGCCGAGGCAATTAGGTCGATTGTCTTTCTTTTTCAGAAATACCGATCGCGAGTCAGCATGGGAGAAGCTAATTAAACCAGGCATAAAGCAAAATTTAATAGGAGCACTTCTAGCATCCCAGGAAAACATGGTCAATCGAAAAAACAGCTTTCAATTATACGGCGCTGATTTTTTAATAATGGATGACCTGTCGGTTTGGTTAATCGAAATCAATACGAATCCACGATTGCATCCTCCTAGCAGTATTGTTACTGAGAAGCTTTATCCGGAAATAATAGAGGATACTATTAAAGGTAGCTGCTACGAAGTGATTATTTTTAACCCATCAAGGACTAGTTTCAATGATTAAAGTCTATTTTTTTGATATCGAATCTACGAAGGAATATTACAATAATTCACTTAATATTTCCTCATTGTTACGCAGCCACTTAGATTCTATAACTTTATAGAATTCGAGGAAATTGAAATAAATACTCATATTAATATTGTGATAAATTATACTGACTGGTCCTTAACGGGTTAAGCTGCACCAAGTGAATTAAATGAGAAACAACTTCGTCCGTTTGTAGTGATTATAGACAGACGTAAGAACAAGAAAGCTGCTCGTGGTAAGTTCGAGTGCATCTTTAAACAACGCAATCCATTTTATGGAAACGTTTTGGGAAAAGGAGTGAGTCTTGGGATTCGCGGCAAAGCGTTACTTCCGCCATCGAATTCACCTCGAAAATGAGGTGAAAAACAGAAAAGTACCTCGTATAAGAGGATTATTATAACAGGACGGCGAAGGAGACATAAAGTAAGATTTAATAAAAACGTGTTTATTTTACAAGTAACAATGCTTTCTTGGGTATACAATCCTATATGAACAGATGTTTTTCTCTCTGTTATATTAATACACATCTATACACGAATGCACACAAGATATACTTGTTCGTAATTGCATTCGCATATTCTTACGGGTATGATTTCATTCAACATTTCATTTGTCTTTTCATCAGCATTATTTCTTAATTTAATTTTGATTAGAAAAGAACAGTTTTACTTCATTTTTTTTTGTTTTTTTTTCTCGACTTTTCGCTGACAGAACGAATTCCGTCTTAAATTCTAGACGTATGCACAATCTATAACGATCTCGATTTAACGTACTAAATGAAAAAAAAAAA